CGCGGCGATCGAAGAAAGGCGAAACGATGGGGGCCAAAAACCCTCTCCCTTCCCCCATTCAATGCGGATGGGACACGACGGGACGTGCCCTGATCGATGGGACACACCCTGCCCGACGGAACGGCGCCTGGTCAAATGGGACGTGGCCTGGGTGTTTCCCACCACTACCGCACATCGGGCGCAAGAAACAAGGCGCCCCTATGCGCAGGCGGCCCTCCGCCTTCCCAGGAGGGACTTGGAGAGGCCCAAACAACGGGATCTCCGCCAGGAGAGACCAACGGGATTCCTAAGTCGATCGGATGGCTCAGGCCAACACCGAGAGACAGGTAATGAGGGGAGGGGCACCCCATGAGGTCCATGCCGACTCCATCACGAACGACAAGCGTGGATCCCGGTCGAACATATCCGATAGGAGCTCCTCAAACCCCGTCACTCAAGTCATCAAGGTAACATTACCAAACCCCCACTCTTTCTTTATATGAACATTCATTCATCCATGCACGCATTTATTCATTCCATACATCCAAAAGCATCGCATATGCAGTTAAATGCATCACAACGCTCTGTGTTGCGTCACGAAGTGGTAGTTGCCTCATTCAACATGAGCAACGACCGACCGGGGTTCGAAGGCTGGCCCACGAAGGGCTCGAGGCCGTCTCGCGTCAAACAGAGCCAGGGGAGAAAATGTAGATGAGCCCCGAGCAGCCCTCGCCCAGTCTGCCCTAAAGCAGATAGGGTCATCTCAACCTTCTTGTTCGATTCTACCCTCCTACCAAACCCATAGAATCTCCATTGAGGGGAGGCCAGCGGGCCACCTGGGTCAGTCTCCAGAACGACCCAGGCATTTGCCGGGTTGCAGGTTAAGGAGCAGTGGAGTGCCACATGAGGGCTATGCCGACCCCGTCATGAACGACGGACCCGGACTTCACTCGAGCATACCCGTTAGCGAGCTCACCGAGTCGCGTCACTCGAGCCATCGAGGCAAGTAACGTTAGCTCAGCCCCTCCGGTTACGAGAAACCGCGGACGGGGTAACGCACAAAACTCAACCGACTCCTACCAAGCCCAACAGGGCTCAAGACACCCAAACACCTCGGCTACGCCTGGATCCGCGACTCTATCTCGCCCGATCCCTCGTTGCGCCCAACGCATGGATCCGCGACTCTGACTCGCCCGATCCCTCATCGCACCCGATGTCTAGATCCGTGACTCTGACTCACCCGATCCCCATCGCGCTCGACGCCTGGATCCGTGACTCCGACTCGCCCGATCCTTGTCGCACCCGACGCCTAGATCCACGACTTTGTCTCGCCTGATCCCTCGTCACATCGTGACCAAACACCTGGGACTACGCTCCCAGAAATGATGGGTCAAAAGAGGCTATGCCACTACAGTACACACACTCGCGCCCGCTAAACAAAACCTCCTAGGCGATTCCGCCCGAATCACCCGGGGCTCGGGGGCTACACCCGTGGGTGTGCTCGCGCGCACCCGCTGATGAAACGAAACTTCCCCCGCTAGCAACACGAAAAACCCCCAGACGATTCTACCCAAATCGCTCGGGGGCTCAGGGGCTACACCGGTGGGTGCGCTCGCGCGCACCCACCATCAAGACAAAAATCCCCCAGACGATTCTACCTGAATCACCCGGGGGCTCAGGGGCTCCTGTCAGGTTCATAAACCCGGGATCCCACATGGACCAGCTTCCCAACAAAGGCTCGGCCCAGCAGACAACGTTGCGAACGACACGCAACTCCTAGGCCGGCCCAAATACCTAAATGATAGGCCAGAAGAGCGATCCAATCTCCGACCGGAAGGCCTGGCCGAGGAGGAACGACGCCCTCTTCCGACTCCGGCCCGCCTCTCCTATCGGAGCACTCACTTCCGACTCTGGCCCCACCTCCGGACGTCCTCTCTGACCGGGAGGCCTAGCCAAACACCACTCTGACCTACATCTCCGATCGGGGATGCGCCGAACCCATGCTTATAGTTCTTCTCCAACTGGCGCAATCAGAGCCGACTGGGACCAACCGACCGGGGACGCCCGCTCGGTGAGGACCAGGAAACGGATGAAGAGAGTAAGGCAGGGCACTCAAGTCAACCGCAATATCGAGGACCGTACCCTGTACACCTACAGGACAGTACCAACAGGGCATGTCAGAAGGGTACCCTGCACCCTTTCTGGCATGTCAGAACCCAAGTAGTGTTGTGGGCGTCGACATTTGCCCTACAGTGTTGTGAGCGCCATAAACTCCCATACCAGACAAACACGGTAAGGCTCCCCCCACATGCCTCTGGGCATCAACAGTGTTGTGGGCGTCGGCATTTACCCTACCAAGCAAACATGGTAAAACCCTTGCATGTCTCTGGGCATCAACAGTATGGCAGGCACCGACGTCTGCCATACCAGAAGAAGACGACGCAACCTCCCACATGCATCTGACATTAACAGTGTTGTGGGCGCCTACAATCATCTTGTACCCGACGGCGTAGACAATAAGACTTAGCATATGTACACTCTCTCTCTCTTGTAAGGCCATACCCTTTATCTATAAAAGGGGATGCGCTTTCTCTCAAAAGGAGGGATATCTCAGTTCACTTAGCCCGATCAATTCAGTACACAACAACAGAACCACCAGGTTCAAACCTCGAGCACATGCTCGGACACTTAGCACATAGCGGAGCTCCCGTCACTCTCGGCCCTTCAGACTAGAGTCCGACCGGACCTCTTGTACCCCCATCTTTCTCCTTCTCGTTTGTAACCCCACCGCAAACTTCGAGCACCTGGGCTCAGGAATAAAGTCACCGACCAACTCAAACTGGACGTATGGCACGTTTCCTGAACCAGTATAAACCATGTGTCATTGAGTGCTAGGCTACCTCCGATCATAACGTATGACAAAACTATAAATATTTACGTGTTGGTCACTTTCTGCACCGACAACACCCTTCATGCTAGGACTAAATACTAAATTATATTGGCCATCAAAATTTAAATATGTTATCCATAGTGACATAGAATTTAATAGAACTGTTTTTCAATGATACCCAATGTGCCCGTCGATAGTGAAGGATAGACGACGTGCCCACCTATAATGATTTCATCAATCTTGATTTTTGTTAGCTTATTCTTTCAGTAATGCACATAAAGATAGGGTGTACATGCGTGCATTCATAAAGTTGATGGTATTTCCAGCAATAATAGGCTTGTGTATAGAGTATAGACCTTTGGGACAGCAAAAAAAAAAAAAAGGCAATTCGGTGTTTAGCTAGCTTATGTGTTACCGCTTGTTAGCTAACTTTGAAACGGGCTGTTTTTGCAGCTTGGGCAAGTTTGACGATGGTTTTTGATGACGTAGTGCCACGTCAGCCACACCACGTCTGCCACGAAGGAGGTAAATCGTATTAAGTTGAAAGTTAAGCGAGATAAACTGGACTATAAATTTTTAGAAAAATACCCAAAAACTCATAAAAATAAAAATAAAAAATATCTTAAAATTTTACATGAAAAAATAATGCAATTCAAAATAATAAATGTAGCTTAATCTTAGAAATTCATAGAAATTTAGTTTTAACTCCTAAAATTATGAAACTAGTTTTAGATTTTTTTTTCTAAAATCATGCAATATTTTATGTTTTCTGGCTTGAAATTGTTTGAATCTTGATGGACTCATTTTGGTGCTTATTTCTAATAGAATCATTGTTTGAATCTATTATAATTAGTCGATGTTGATTGTTCGAACTATGTAGAACCGTTGATGGAGCGTCGTTAGGACTATAGTGGTGCTAGTCCCCTCCCTAGATAATTTATCAAAGTAGTTGTGTTAGCCTACGCGGCCGCATGCACTCTCCTGCTCTTATGCAAGTTGAATATATTTAATTAACTTTTACAAACTATTGAATCTAATTAAGTTTTAATACAATGTATGATGGAGCGTAATGCGGTAGAAAAATCTATATGGTAGTACACGGTCCATGATGTTTGTTTAGATATGATCAAGTGACATGAACATGATCGATTGACACTTATATTTACACTAAATAGTATTAAGCATGATGTGGTTACATGGCACTAGCTTGTGTTGTCATCAAAGTCACTTGATCACCGATGTAGACTAATTATAATAGACAGTGAGAGCATCTACTAGCAAATAAAGACCAAAAGAAATCCATACAAGATCTAATTGATTCTAGTTTAGTCACCATAAGATAGAAAATGATTTTAGGAATAATATGAAACTAGTTTCATATTTTTCAGCTAAATCAAAATTTCTATGATTTTTTAAGATTAAACTGCATTTTATGATTTTTAATTGGATATTTTTTCCAAAAAAAAAAAGCATTTGGATATCCTTTTTTAAAAAACATATTTCTAATTCAGTTTACCTCCCGAAGTTTAACTTAGTCCGATTTGTCCCTCGTGATTGATGTGGCACCGTATAGAAAGACTGACATGCCACTACGTTAGCGAAACTACCGTCAAAACTGCCATGTCTTTAAAAGTTTTGAGAGAGGGTCGACAAATTGTGAAAGTTGAGGTAGGTCAGAAAAAACTTTTTCCTACGAGAAATGGTGGTCCAGGAAGCCACATTGAGCTTAGTTATGGGCCTAGTCGGACCGGGCTGTAGGGTTCTGATAGGCAATCCTGGGCCCAGGTGGTAGCGCCTTAGGAAGCCCGTTGCGTCATCTTCCTTTCCCAAAGCAAAACAGAACCTCATTGTAAGTCTAAAAAAAAAGAACCTCATTGACTTGCTTTACTCCCTTGCATCTCCTCACCTTCCCCGGCGCGCCGTCGTTTGCCAGTTCGCCGCCGCCGACGCCGACAGCCATCTTCGGGAGGTTCGATTTACTCCACAACCTCATCTTCGCTCCCCTCTAGGATGTACCTCGAATTCTGATCAATTTGCGATTCTTTATTTCTCGCCGTAAAAGGTCTAGGTCACGCGCTTAATGCCGCCGCTGCGTCGATTCTGTCAGGTCTTGCCGTGGTCATCGCCGTCGATGGATCACCATGTTCCGACGCCGACGACGGCGTCGACGTGCACCCCGGAGACGGCGCAAGGCAGGCACTTATTTGAGGTCACCGGTTACAGCAAGCACAGGGGGATGGGCCACGAAAAGTTCATCAGGTCCGGTACCTTCTTCGTCGGAGGCCACCAGTGGTCCATCCGCTTCTACCCGGATGGGATCACAGACAAAGATTACATCTCAGTTTATCTCGAGCTCATGGAGGAGAAGGAAGGCTCCAAGGTACGGGCATCCTGCGACCTGAAGCTGGTCGACCTGACAACAGGGTTGTCGGCTTCTGTGCATAGGACAGGGCCTAGAATGTTTAACTCCGGTGATGTCAGTAAGTTTGCTCCTCAGGATGGCTTGTTCAAGAAACGAAGCGAATTTGAGGCGTCAGTGTACCTTCGAGATGATCGTCTTGTGATCGAATGCATTGTCACTGTTATGACAGAACCTAAGGTATCTGCAACCAAATTGCCCACAAAAATTGAGATGCCCCCATCAGACATTGGAAATCATCTTGGCAAGTTGTTGGAAGAAGAGGAGTGTGCAGATGTCACATTCAGCGTTGGAGGAGAAACTTTTACAGCGCATAAGCTTGTGCTCGCAATGCGGTCGCCAGTTTTCAAAGCTGAGTTCTATGGTCCGATGAGGGAGAGGAGCACGCAGCTTGTGACCATTGATGACATGCAACCTGCTGTGTTTAGGGTCCTTCTTCAATTTATCTATACCGATTCTTTGCCTGACATGAAGGATCTTGTGGAAGATGTCAACTGCGAAATGATCCGGCATTTACTTGTGGCTGCAGATAGATATGCTTTGGATAGGCTCAAGTTGATTTGTCAAAGCATCCTTGCCGAGAATCTTAATGTGATAACTGTGGCAACTACATTGGCTTTGGCTTATCAGCATAACTGCAACATGCTTCAGGATGTTTGCCTTGAATATATCACCAGTTCAGATGTGATGGATGCAGTGGCAGCAACCGAAGGCTACAAGAATCTCAAGACAACCTGCCCTTCTGCACTAGCAGATGCATTTGAGAAGACAATGAAGTTGCTTAGAACATAAGAATCTTGCCTTAGCTGTCCACCAGTGTTTCTTATTAAATTATTACAATAGCTTGTCTGAATCAGCTAGAGCAGCTTATTATAATTTTAACCTAGGGATTAGTAGCCCAGTATAAGATGAATTGATTGAGAACTATCATGTGTGTCATATTTAGTCCTATACTCTATACTAATATGTCTAAAAATACAAGCTGTCTACTTTTTTCGCACAATGCTATGATGGACTCATAGCTTTAAGCACAAGACTAGAATGCTGTTGAGATTACTGTGAGAAATATGAGATAGCTTGGACAGTCACAATTTTACCTCCTTGGTCACTAAGTTTTACGATTTGTGTATGCTGATAGCAGTACGATATCGACAATGTTGTGCATGATTTTGGAGGTTCTAGTGCTTTCAATATATGCTTGAGTAAAATGATCATTTGGATTAATGTTTCCATGTAACAAAACAAGCATATAACAATTTAAATCATAAAAACTCAACCAACCAAGAAGGTATGTGGGTTTTGATTATGAATAGGCACCAAATTTCACCTCAGCGAGGGTTGAACTTGGTCTTGGACTCTGGGTGTACATCCATTCCCTCGAGAAACTAAGCTACGTTCAGTTGCTAAATCAAAAGAAAGCATGAGCAAGTCTACTCAGTTGTGATTTTGGACGGTCATGTTAGTTACCAACAACTGATTTGACACCCATGGTACTTAGTGCATAGTTAAAAGCTACTTTAGGATTGACTTCAAATTCTGTTCTATTAAGTATTAACCTTACTCGAGATCTATGTAAGGCGAGGTACTTGCTTAGTTGCTTGTTGGTATTTATGCTGTCTTTTTTGTGTGTTAAAGTTTGATTAGTTAATTTTTCATAATTTACAAAGAATCATTCAAAATAAGATGCATTGGCAAGTAAAATATTGCCACTCCATACACACTGGTAGTATTTCTTTTGCTAGGGTATACATTCTTGGAGTTATGAGGGCAGTAGCAACATAAGCATAAATCACTCTGTGTAAAGACTGAAAGCTTTCATGCTTCCTCAGTTAACTTGGCAGGCACTGTTTCTTTCTTCAGCACTGTCAGATAGGCCATCCTCAAGTTTTCTGTGACTGGTACTATATGAGCCTTCGATATCTTTCATAAAATTGGCATCTTATCTTTAGAGTTTGTCTTATAATGCCTTTTGGCAGAACGGATAAGATGCATTTCCATGAAACTAATTTAGCAAAGCTTTGTTAATGCTGCCATTGAGGGGAACGAATGAAGCTACTTTACTCCTAAAATTTCCAAACTGTGATTTTTAGTATTTGCATCGTATCTTTGTAAAAAGTATGTTCTTGATTTGTAGAAGGGTGGTGTAAATATCCACTGCTATCTGATATTCATGTTCATCCTATCTAATAAGTGGCATACAACTTTTGTCTCTATGCATATCTCAGTAGTTCTATGATACTGGTGAGTCCAGGAGTCGACACGAGGTTGTGAGTTTCATATTGGGCTTGTACTAGATTCATACTGATATGAGTTAGCAATACAATGAGGATGCAGCTTATCTTCAAAAATGCTGTGTATTGGCCCAAGTTGATATGTCAAAGTATCCTTTTGTGAGAAACTTGATGTGAAGACCATGGCAGCTACATTGGCTTTGGCTTATCAACATAGCTGAGACAGGCTTAAGGATGCTTGCCTTGAGTTTGTCACCACTTCGGATGTGATGTATATAGTGATAGCATCCCCAGGTTATAAGAATCTCAAGACAACCTGCTCTTCTGCACGAACAGATGCATTTGAGAAGGCATTGTGGTTTCTTATGCCCAAACATTTTTATTTTATTACTCATGTTAGAGTTCAAAGATTAGTTACATTTTTTTCTGAATTATGAACCATATGGATTATATTTGATTGATGTCTATAGGATGCATGCTGCGATGGTACTAGGAGAGTGCGAGCTTCTCTGGGGTTGATCTGAATTGTTGCCACGGAGTTTGCATCAAGTGATTTTCACTCCGTAGAATACAATACCCACTATCTAAAATTTGAAATATTATTGGTTATTAAAAGAAGAAATCTCATTATTAGTACTTCTATTGTGGTGACCAATGATGTATCTTCGTGAATATAACTTATCCCTTTTTGGATGGATCATATCTCTATTTCTATACTCTACAAAAAAATCATTATAATTTTATTACTTAGAAATATTATTGTTACTCAAGAAGGAATGTCATTATTAATACTTCTATCAAGGTGATCCAATGATGTACTCACTTCGTCTCATCAAGATATAAGGCACGATTTAACTTGGTGTGGTCTTCAAGATCATAGTTTAACCGTTAATTTATACTATTGTATGTAATTTATGGCAACAACAAAAGTATCATTGGAAAGTATTTGTACAGACAATCTAATGTTACCACTATTATACTATAAATCTTTTATATTATTAGACTAATTGTTGGTCAAAGATAACGAAAGTCTGAATTTTAAAATACGTGCATGTATTATATCCTGAGATGGAGGGAGTATCTTCGTGATTATAAATTACCCCATTTTGGATGGATCATATCTATTTCTTTACCCTACAAAAGAATTATTATATTTTTATTGTACATAACAACTTTGAAATTATTTACACTAATTGTTGACACTTCCAATTGAATCCAGACGAACTATCCACAAATTCTTCTACAAAATCCCCGTAGCAACACGTTTCGCGTGGGTCACATCTAGTTTATTTATACACTAGCGTGATTCCTTCTACATCTTATTTCTCCTAACTTTATTTAAATTACTTTTATATTCCCACGGGAATTCGCCTAGTATCTTATTATACTTGGAACCTTCACTTTACGGTCACGTACCAAAGCTTTAATTTCAACTATACGAGGTTATTCGGAAATTTGAAAGGAATGGGAGGATTTGTACTCGAAACCAAGGCCCCATTCTCTTGATGGGCCCCTTTGAACAGGTAGGCGGAGGCCCACTTAAGACTCTAGATGACTAGAATCACAGCGAGTCAGTCACGGCCGTTTCATTTCGGAAGTGGGAGTTTTGGACGTGCGATTCCACAAGATCGTCGCCTTGTTCGCCGCTGTCGCCGTCTCCTCCGGCCGTGTTCTCAGGTTCGATCGTCTCCACGATCTCCGATTCTCTTCCTCCTCCCGCCCCATCCCACTACCGGTCCAGGAATGAGATCACGACACCTTCTTCTCCTGATCCCATCCTCATCAGATTCGTGTCGCGCCGCCGAACCAAGAACGGGGATCGGATCCACGGAGCCCGCGCGCTTGCACTGCTATCGTCGTGTTGATTCCTCTCTCTCTGTCTCTCTCTCTCTGACTCTCTCTCTCCCTGGCACTGGCAGGTCTCAGGTCCGCCGTCGCCGCATCCCCACGGCCACGGCAGCATGATGACGACCCAGCAGGTGAAGACGGCGTCGACTTGCCCGCCGCCGGAGACGGCGCAGGGCACGCACGTGTTCGACATCCTCGGGTACAGCAAGCACCGGGGGATGGGCGCCGACTACTTCATCAGATCCGGCGTGGAGCTGTGCAGCCGCACTGGGCCCTCGAGGCCAGGGGGCCCAACCCCATTTATGTATGTAGTCCACTGCCACGAATTAACGCCGCTGCGGACTGGACTGGACTGGGGACTGCGGTGCTGCTCTGCTCCGGTCATCATCTACAGCAGCGAGGGTTGCGGCAGGCAGGCCCAGCACGCCAGGTGCCGCCCAAAGCGGCGGCAACGTACGTACGCATCGGCAGCAGAAGATGATGACGCGCCGCTACAGTGGAGCCGGCGCTGGGATTCGTCTCCATCGCCCAGGAGTACGTAGAATGTACTACCGTTATTACTGCTGCTGCTAGCTGCGCGGTACGGTGAATATGGCGGCAATGCCGGTAGGCCGGTGCCCTGCCTGCATTGCACGTACCATACGGAGTACGGAGTACTACGCCGCTACGGGCACGGAAACCCGAGAGAGGCTCCTGCGCGCTCTGCACGTCTGCACTAGAAATTCACCAGAGGACGGACAATGCCTACACTACACCAAGCTAGCTAGGAGTACTACTACAACGGAATGCGTACATGCTCCTGTAGTCCTGTGGGCCGACGGACAATGCCTACACCCATCTCCGGTGACCTCCGGCCGACGGGCGGCGGCGGACAACCGGAACGACCCCGAGCTCCCGAGCGGACCTGCTCGGTGCCGTCACTGCCGTGCATGCGTGCCGCGCCCCCGCCCGCTGCATTGGCACGCACCGGCAGCAACGCAAAAGCCGCGCAGAGAGGCCAGCGCCCCACGGCCCTTGTTCCATCCTTCTTGTCGCGACGCCGCTTTTCGCACGGCACGCTGTTCCAAAGCTGGCGGCTGACGCGTCGGTCGCGGTGGCATGCACGACGGCGCGGAGCTAGCACCACCACCACCTCCAATATAAGATGTATAACTTTTTTTTTTGTTGTTTCATGAGAATTTTCTTATGCATTAATCTTATTAAAATTATCATTATATTATTAGACTTATATTAAGGGGCTCATCGCCTGTGGCTTCGCTCCAGGTCTATAATTTGACAGGGCCGGACCTGACCTCCGCCTCCTCAGCATGAGCGACAAGGTGCGCGCCTCCTGCGACCTCCGCCTGGTCAACCCTGCCACGGGGGTGGCCACGTCGGTGCACCCGACGCTGATCATCGACTCATCGTGAGGGAGCTGGACCCGGAGAAGGACAAGGTCGTCTGCCACTGCATGTGCATCGGCCGCGGCGAGCTCGAGGGCACCTACGTGAAGAACGACCGCCTCACCATGGAGTGCGTGGTCACCGTGAGGAAGGAGCCCCGGGTGTCCAAGCCCAGGACCTTCCCCAGCATCCGAGTGCCGCTGTCCAACCTCAAGCGGCAGCTCGCCGATCTCCTGGAGAGCAGGAAAGGTGCCGACGTCACGTTCAGCGTCGCCGGCGAGACGTTCGCGGCGCACAGGCTCGTGCTCGCCATGCGGTCGCCGGTGCTCAAGGCGGAGAGCTCTGCGGCCCCATGAGAGAGGTGGGGATGGGGACGCGGCCCATCGTCATCGAGGACATGCAGCCTGACGTCTTCAGAGCGATGCTCTACTTCGTCTACACGGACTCCATGGATCACCACGACGATCTCTCCAGAGACTACTACAGCAAGAACTGCGACATGGTTCGGCACTTGCTGGTGGCGGCGGATAGGTACGCCATCGAGAGGCTGAAGCTGATTTGCCAGAGCATCCTCTGCAAGCCAACAACCTTGACGTGCAGAACGTGGCGACGACGCTGGCGTTGGCTGATCAGCATCACTGCGACAAGCTCAAGCATGCTTGCGTTGAGTTTATGTGTTGTTCGGATAATGCGCAAGATGTCGTGGCGACTCAAGGGTATATGGATCTTGCGAAAACTTCACCTTCTGTGTTAGCTGATGCAATGGCCAGGATGAGTAAGATCAGCAAAAAGGTGATGACAAGAGCACTGCAAGCCCAAGATGCATCGTCCATCTGATTGTGCCTAGTAGTTTGTTAGTTCTTTATTAGTTAAATACCAATAAGATTTAGCTATCAATTTTCAGTTTCTTAATTAGTTTTTTGTGAACAGTTTATTGTTATTAGCTAGTGGTATCCTAATAAATACTCCTATGTTATTTTCCAGTGTGCTTGATGTTTTCTACCAATTCAGACACGGCTATTTTTCCAAAAAAAAAATGTACTGTTTCTGTCCACAAATATGTATATATAAATGTCTGGTAACAAGCGTGTTTCATATGTTCTGACATCCTTCCCTCGTGGGTCCACCTGTCAATCTAAGGTGAGTATAAAGTTTTTGCGGTGACAACAGATTTCTAATTCCTTCGCTCCTTTATAGTATAGATATAGATAAATGTTTGGTACCTGTGTAGTCGAACATCAATTTTTTTCTTATATAAACATAACAATCGAATTTATTGAGCTAAGGAGGAGCATTGCACACTAATATGAATAACTTTTTAAAATGGCATTGCCACTGTTAATTGGTCTCGTATTATTAATATTATACTAGGATGTTTGAAAACATATTAGAATTATTTTATTCTATCGCGTAGGAAAAATTTGAGAAACTGAATAAGATGTACGACTTCAATTGAATATAATTAGAGGAATAAATATCTTCATATGAATTGGGCCACCTAGTCACCTAGACCAGACCACATTGTCGTCGCTAGGCGATCTTCGGAAGATATAGCAAGCATATGCATATTGATCGATGCGTGTGCTTCTTATTTGTGTATTTTTGCAGCCCCATAATACTCAGCTTTGCACTGAAGTTGTGAGGCTAAACTGTTTGCCAGTGTGTTTGATGTTTTCTACTAAATTCAAAGAATGCTAATTTTTGAGGAAAAACTGTACTGTTTCTGTCCACATTTTATTTATATTTATAAATGTCTGGTACCTAGATAGTTGAACATTAATTTTGATGATTATAAACATATAAACCAATCATATTTATTGAGGTAGCAGATGAACGACACCAAGTCTCCGACCGCTTTGGTCTGCCTACCTTGCTCTCCGCCTTTCACCTCCCATGAGATCCTTCACCCTCGCGATCGCCAACCAGTTCGTTCAAACATGCCACTGACGGAGTGGGCGGACCCAATCGCCGGTGACGCGCGGCAACAAGGCGCGCACATGCTCGAGGTCACAAGGTACAGTCACCTCCACAGGCGCAGGTGCGTCGGCACCAGCGGCCGCATCAGGTGCGTCGAGTCCGCCGGCTTCACCGTCGGCGGATACCAGTGGGCAATACTCTTCTACCCCGACGGCGACGACGACCCGACCGGCAGCTCGGGGTACGTCTCGGTCTCCCTCGCGCTCGTCACCCGCCCCGCCCGGGTGAGGGCGTCCTTCAACCTGGGCCTGGTCAACCGCGCCACGGGGCTGCCGTCGTTCCAGCCCGAGGACACGACGGCGGTGTTCGACAACGCCGCCTGCTGCTGCTGCCACATGTACCCTTACCCCTACCCCATCCCGACCTGCCGCCACGAACGGAAGCAGCGCTCCTGCCACGGCGTGCCGAGGCTCATGAGGCGGTGCGAGCTGGAGGCGTCGTCCTCGGCGTACCTCCGCGACGACGCGGTCACCGTCGCCTGCGTCGTGACGGGCGTCACCGGGACGGCGCTGCTCACGTCGTCCCGTGGCGGGCCGGAGATCAGGGTGCCCGGGCGCGACCTGCACCTGCACATCGGCGAGCTGCTCGTGTCCCAGGAAGGCGCCGACGTGACCTTTGATGTGGATGGGGAGGCATTTGCAGCTCACCGGATCATCCTCGCCGCGCGGTCGCCGGTCTTTGAGGCGGAGCTCTACGGCTCCAGTTCCACGACGGAGACAGACGCGCACACTGTCACGGTACGTGACATGCGGCCTGACACTTTCAGGGCGTTGCTCCATTTCATCTACACCGACTCCTTGCCGGCCATGAGCCATCTGGGCATGGACGAGATGAGAGAGCTGCTCCAGCATTTGCTAGCGGCCGCGGATCGGTACGCCATTGACAGGCTCAAGGTGATGTGCGAGCACATCCTTGCCAGGACACTCCACGTGGAAAACGCAGCTATCACATTGCCTCTGTTGTGAAACGACACCTATACGCGAACGGACGTCTACAGACGAGCAAGCGTCTCTTCACGAGTGATCTCATCCATCAAGCACAGGATTAGTGGATATGATTAGACAGTTAATTTTAGTTCTAAATGGCATGTCTTTTGGGAACAGTCGTGTCCCTTCGTGACACCCCTCCACTTATATAAATATATTTCTGAGATCAATGAAAGCAACAGTTCTCCCAGATCTTGTTCATTTACGTTCACACTTTAACACGTTATCAGCACTTTGCTCTACGAGAACAAGGAGGAACCAGAGAGCAGTTCGCGGAGAAGAAGAAGTTGCTGGCGTCGTTGTCGAAAGACTCGACGGGGCGTCGCTGCATCCATTGCAAGAACAAGCCATACGACCTCAGCGACGATGATGCCGTTCTTCATGGCCGAGGAAATTAGTTCGTCGGAGAAGTTCATCGGAGACTTGCAAGAGGAAGAATCGGCCTCCACAGCAACATAGAAGAACAAAAGCACGCAGGTCTCACCGGTGCCGACAGGAGTACACGACGATGTTCCCCACTATGAGATCCTAGTTGCTGACCCGTCCGTCCCCGGCACGTTTCCTAGCTTCCGCGGCGGCCCCAAGATGCACGAGCAATGGCCGGAGGCCCTGCTGCCTGCGCCTTTGCGGCCCTAGCGGTAGCACGTGTGCACGCGTGGTCCCGTGGCAGGCGGCCCGCGCCGCGATTGGCGACACGTGTGACAGGCCTGCTCCCTGGCGGCCCGTGCCCCCCGCGGCCTCTCTTCCGCGGCTGACGGCCCCTTCCCGACGTTCGTGGCCGGCCTGCGGGCCCGCGCTTGTGGCCTTGCGGTGCGGCGGCGGACGCCCTCGCCCGCGGTAGCCAGTGGTCAACCCAACGGCCTCCTCGTCCGCGGCCGCCTTGGCCCGCCGGCCGGCCCCTGCTCCTGCGGGTCATGGCAAGCCCCGCGCCCCATGGCCGGTGGCTCCAAGCACCGGCGGCGGCGGCCCTGAGGCTGAGCGGTAGCGCACGCACGGACGTAAGGCCGATTTCCAGTAACCGTCCGCTCGATGGTTGTCTCCCTGGGAAAGGATAAGGATGTGTGTTTTTGCATAAAAATCCTTCTTTCTCCTATGAATTACATGATAATTCTAATAGATTATTGATGTATTCCAGATTTATGCTTAAGCCCTCCGGTTTTAACATACTGCGGTGTACTATATTTACCCCACGTAAATGCTCATTTTACACCTTAGATTTAAAATGCATTATGATGCATAATATTTACCTCCTGTAAATAAGTATTTTTGAGACCCATGTGTCATCAAGAATTGCATCATGACATGTACTGTTGCAGATGAATTTACCACTGTAAATTCGCTTTCCAGACCCTATGTTTTCTGGAATTTTTTAGTACTGTTCAAAGCGTTTGTTTAAATTAGAAAACCCAATAAACATGTGATATTAACATTGCATGTTCAAAGTATTTGTCCAAATTGGCAAACCTAATAAACATGTAGTATAATCATTACATTGTTCAAAGTGTTTGTCCAAAATGGCAAACCCAATAAACATGTAGTATTACTATCACGACGTTTTCATTGCAACTACTTTGTTATTTGCAATTTTCATTTTATGTTAAGCCCATTTATGATTTATTAAAATCTTATAGCGCTTACATTTTTTAATGCAAAATCAATTAAGTGTATTACCTCATTATTTGTACAACACAAATGTTCCATATTGTATGTTGGTCATACACAAGGTAGCGCCATAGTTGCTACCGTGGGATCTACACTAAATTCTTAGTGACTATCCTCAATGTGCGTACCCAACATCACAAATTGGAATATATGGTCTACATCTTTTCACAAGATGACTACCATTAATCAGCATTCCTATTGGCCATACACAAGGTAGCACCATAGTTGCTACTGCGGGATCTACACTAAGTCCACAACTAGTGACTATCCTCAACGTGCGTACCCAATTCGTTTGCGGATTAACTAAGGTCTACATCAATCTTTTGATGATTACCTTAAAATGTGTTTATACAAATTGCATACACCACTTGGCATCTACTGTTCAACAGACTATGTCCATATTATTAGAGGTCTATATCTTTATGATGACTACCTCTAATGTGTTAGCATAAATGAGGTTTACACTATTAATGAGATAGATCTGGTCTCCTATTTATTTTGCATTAATTAATACAACATCACCATAGCAATTTTAAATTTATCCTTAGCGTAAATTAAGAAAATATATGGTTTAAACTTTGTTAGAATAATAGCCAGCAAAAAGTTTGATCTCTTGCTCTTGATGGTCACCATTATCTAACATGGTCAATGGACGTAATGTTAAACTTGATGTTCTATGGATTCATGGCAATATTTGATGCTCCTCATAAGAGAGCATCACTACTTATGATCAATCTAAATACGGAGTTTTATTTAAATAAAGCACCATATACATCCAGGTCACACGTATGTGTATCTCAATGAGTGCAAATCGAAGCACTATATGGCTAGCTTTCAATGAGTGATACAAACAACACAAGGCAGTCATTCTGCCCAATGCCAACTATGATTGGCCACAACTTTATCTCTAGGATCTTAAGTCCATTTGAGAATATAATTATGTTGTTCCAAAATATCCCCCAACATTGTGTTTTCGCAAAAGCACACAACTTACCAAATGTATTCTAGATTAATTCCTACATTACTTCAGATCTAAGTGTATGATAAACTCTTATCGAGGAATCATCATTAGCATTATAGTGATGCTCTATCATTTGAAGTACATTGAATTTTCAGAATCATTATAAGTTCGATGCCATGTAGTAATGCCATCCATAGAACTTTAATGGTAAGATTTAACGTAAAAAGAAGTAGCAGCCCCGTGCATTCTTT